TTACTTACAGACAGGTACACGTGTGCAACTAATTTGTACAAAAATACACACTTTTTTTTTTGCATACAAGTTCAAGGCCCCTCAAGTCTTGGGAACGCGTTCCCCCTTCCATTACCTGGTTTCTGTATCCTCTCCTTGACTTCTTTATCAATGTTTGCGGTCTCTACTATACCCTAAACTTCAACGCAGTTAATTTTGTCCTTACACTGACCCTGAGGTATCTGTTTAACAGATTGGAAACACTGGTGGCATAATGGCTCCACTGCAAGGTTGGCAGTTTGAAACTACCAACTGCTCTGATGAAGAAAGACAGGCTTTTTTCTCCCCTAAAGAGTTACAGTCTAGGAAACCCAGTTCTAGCCTAGGGTCTCTAAGTAAGAATCACCTGGAGGGCGGGGAATTTTTGTTTTTCTGTAGATGCACAGGTTAGTATCAAAGTATGGTGAAAGCTAAATGCCAGCGACCCTGATGGATTGTTGGTGCAAACACTCAGGTGCCTTGGAAGAAAGGCCCATCTCCTTCTGAAAGTTCACAGCCAAGAAAGCCCCAGGGAGTCACACTGCCGATTCCAGTCAGTGTCACGACCCAAAATGTGTAGCGGCTGTCGACGGGAAAGCCTATTTGCTCTGAAAACTTTGCCCCAAATCACAAAAAGTTTGTGTATGTGTGTGTGTGTGTGTGTGTGTGTGTGTGTGTGTTGCTGTCTTTTTAAGTAGGTGGGGGGAAAAAAAGAATGGCTTAGGATACCTTTGAAAAACTGGCTCACATTCTTGGGTGTTATTGTCATTAGTAGATCTTTGTGGGAGTCACCAGGATTGTTTCTAAGGCGTAGTGGGAGGAATGGAAAGATGGATGGAAACCATGCATGGTAAAGGGAAGGAAACTAACAACAAAATAGTAACACCCCCACCACTGTCTGGAGCAGTTCCAGCCTGCACATTGACTGGGTCACCACGAGTGGGGCAGACTGGCTGGAGACGGGTTTGGCTTACACCTTTAGGTCCAGTGCCCGTGCCAACATTACCCTGTCGGGGAAGAAGCGCAGAAAACTCCTCCAGCAGATCCGGCTGGCGCAGAAGGAGAAGGCCGGCATGGAAGTGGAAGCCCCCCCAAAGCCATCCAGGACTCATGAACCGAAGCCCAAGCGCCAAAGGACCAAAGCCCCCCAGGATGTAGACATGGAGGTGCTTGAGGATGGGAGCTAAATATCTCACCCCTTCTAGAAGCTTTCCACTGGAGCCAAGAGGCCCAAAGTCAGTGGACTTTGGAGAAAGCATAGTCCCTTTCCACTGCCCCCACCTATTGCCCTCTTCCAAGACGGCCTGGGGCCCCTGGAAGGAGGTCAGAGGTCAGAGGAGAAGACTGGACTGGAGAGGGGTCCCTAGCTGTGGGTTCCATTTGTAATAAAGCCTGGAGTACTGGCTGGGTGTGCGTGACTCGATGTGGCGCGGGCGCGGCCTGGGGAAGGGGTGAGTGGAGAGAAGACGGGGGTGGGGGTGGGGGATCCAAAGAGCTTGCTTGAGCCGAAGCAAAAGAGGCCCACCAGCCTCCATAATGGCCTCGTCTCTCAAGGGGTGACACTCCCAACTTGCCAGCGCTGACAAAAATACAGGGGATGGTAGGAATTCAGAGAGGAGACAAGAGCCCGGATACTGGCCCCGCCTTTGCGCTCCCTTTGTGACCTGGAGACAAGTTGGTTGGCCTCCTCTCTGCCTCTGGTCTTTTGCAGGCAAACATCGTGGAGTTGACTTACAGGTGTTGTGTTGCTTGCAGTACACCTGATAACAGCTACTGTGTTTTGGGCTCCATTGTGATCGCTGGCACACCAAGAATGACTCCCACAAGCACACATTTCCTTCGTTGGGTGAGAAGAAGGTGTGTTTTGTTGCTTGTGTGAGTGGTGCTCACACAACTTGGCCCACAGGGATCATGAGAATCACCACCAGTTGGAAGCAGAGCCCTCGGAGGGGGAGGCAGACCTCCTGCTTGACTCTGCTGCCAATCTGGACAGGAGCTGTCCTCCCCATGGCCCGTCTTACTTTTTCTGCTGGGTTTAATCCTTCCTTGCAATGGCCACCCAGGGACTCCCAGACCACACTTCATTGGTTAGTGGTTTATTAAGGAAGTTAGAGGGTGGGGACAGCTGGAGACCGAGACCAGGATCCGGAAGCATGCAGGCAACCTCTGGACCGCTCCGGAATAGAGAGCAGGTCTCCCCCTTCTCCAGTGCAGGACAGCCTTCAGCTCCTTTCAGCTGTGCCCTCCTTGCAGGACGGGCCTCTCCGCTTCCTACTGCTAACAGCCAGCTGGAGCCCCTGCAGCAGGTCCGGCCAGCCCACTGAGCTGCTTTCCTAGCCACAGGTTTCCGCTGTGGCTACTGGTGACCCCTGGGCCTCTAAGTGTCTTTATTGTTGACCCGTGTTACGGCTCTTTGAGAGGTTCTTGACTGCCCCTCTCCCTGCTTCCTGATGCTTCTGTTTGCTACTCTGGAAAACCTCTGTGGAGTTGGCTGTATGTATACAACTCATTTTTAAGGCATTGCTTCGCCTTCCCAGCAGGGGGCCACACCCTGACTAATCTCCCCCTCTTGGAAGGCCACTTTATGTAGTATATTGACCAATCGCAAGGCAGGCTACAGCTCTGAACTGGACAAATTCAAACCAAATACAAGGCCACCGAATGGATTCTGACTGAGCAGAAAATGGGCCACCGAGCGGCTGGCTGGTGGGTTCAAACTGCTGATCTTAGGGGTAGCCCACCACGTTAGCACCCCACCAGGGCTCCAGGGTTCGAGAAGTGTCAGGTGGCTTACAGTTAACTAGGAAACAATGAGCCAGGGCAAAAGGAACACACCCTCTTGGGTAAAGCTCCAGGGCAAAAGTAGTTTGGGGCTTAGGAAGAATACCAAACTGTTTTTCCAGAGGACCAAGGCAAAAAGCTGCATCATACAAGCTCATTTCACCCGTGAAAGGCACAAATGTGCAGTGCTGATGGCGTGTCCCAGGTCCTGCCTGACCTTTAAAGTCTAATCTGAGGGTCAGCCTTTCCATGCAATACGCCGTGACCACCCCCACCTTCATCTATCACCTCTTCCACACGTGAACGTCTACCCTAGCAGACAGCTAAATAGACCTTGTCACAGTGGGAACCATCTTGTCCCATCTTCCCTCCCCGTTGAAACCCAACTGTGGCTGCCAGGTGGGTTCTGACTCGTCATGGCCCTCGAGTGCCGAGAAGTGTCCCATTGAGCTTCCAAGGACTCTCGCTGCCTCTCTCACGAGCATTGCCTTTAAGCTTAAACGGAGTGCTTCAGCGCTGGGCCGCTAGAGCTTTCCACTCCAATTGCTGCTGTCCTCAGAGACCCTATGTACAAATGAGCACAGCCCTGCCGGTTCGCACCATCCTCACAATCGTTGCAGTGCTTGAGAGCATAGTTACAACCACGGTCAACCCATGTCTTTGAGGGTCTTCCTCGCTTTTGCTGACCCTCTACCAAGCGACCCCCTGTGGGGTTCCGATTCAGTAACTTTACAGGAGCAGAAAAGCCTAGTTTTGGTCCCTGGGAGCTGCTGCTGGTTTCAAACTGCTGATGGTGGGAATCGCAGCCCAATGCGTAACCACTCCAACTACCAGGGCCCCTTCTCCAGGAGCTGGTCCCTCCTACTAACAGGTCAAAAGCACATTTCCCCGTTTTTTAAAAAAAATCATCTTATTGGGAGCTCGTACAACTCTTATCACAATCCATCCATCCATCCATTGTGTTAAGCACATTTGTTGATATCATTCTCAAAACATTTGCTTTCTGCTTGAGCCCTTAATATCAGCTCATTTTCCCCCTTCCCTCATGAACCCTTGATAATTTATAAATTATTATTTTGTCATATCTTACCCATCCCCTTCACCTACTTTTCTATTGTCTAT